GAATTGAATTGAATTGAATCTGCAGGTATCTTTCTGATCTACCTGATCACCTTCCTGATGATCGCAGAGCCAGGTGTGGTGGCTTGTGCATTCCGGCGCCTCCTGCTGGGCCTCGGTATGGCCATTACCTACTCCGCCATGTTAACCAAAACCAACCGCATCTACCGCATCTTCGAACAAGGCAAGAGGTCGGTGACCCCACCGAAGTTCATCAGCCCTACCTCCCAGCTCATCATCACCTTCATTCTCATCTCTGTCCAGGTGAGAACGCCAGCGTCAGACCACTTTCTGTTTCCTGTTTCTGTTTCAGCAGCTTGTCACATGACTCAAGTTTGTGGTTTTTTTTGTGTGTGTGTGTGGGTGGGTTAGGTCCTCGGTGTGTTTGTGTGGTTCGCCGTCGTCCCTCCTCACACCATCATCGACTATGAAGAGCTTCGCCCCCCAAATCCTGAACTGGCCCGAGGCATCCTTAAGTGTGACATGTCTGACCTGTCAATCATCTGTTGCCTCAGCTACAGCATTGTACTCATGGTAACATATTGATCTAGCATTGATCCTACATTGATCTGTTATTGATTTGTTATTGATCAGCTCTTATAAATACTGGTTTCAGACTGAGCAGGTGAACTTCCCTTCTGATGTCACATTGATCTTTGACAGGAAATAAGTATTATTTAAGTGTTGTAAAAGGCTGTACTGTTTTTGTTGCTAGGTAACCTGAGTTACTAGCTGGTATGTAAGCTGCATTGTTTCTTGTTACTAGGTAACATGTACGGTGTATGCAGTGAAGAGTCGTGGTGTTCCAGAGACGTTTAATGAAGCGAAGCCAATCGGTTTCACCATGTACACCACCTGCATCATCTGGCTCGCCTTCGTACCAATCTTCTTTGGTACCGCCCAGTCCACCGAGAAGGTAAGAACCAGGACAAACAAGGACAAAAAGGACATGGTAAATCCTTAAGTGGTATGGTATATAACCATCCACATATAAAGATATACAGTCTGTGCAGTAGTGATTGGGGTCTGCGCCACGGTATCGAGGTCCCACCCATACACCTGGCTGACTCAGTTGTGAGCAGGGCTCAGCTTTCAATCATGACGTGAAACCCCCCTTTTTATATTTTCAAATAACTAATTAAACCAAACTGATGATAAAAATGAACAAACATCAGCGTGATAAGCATGACCTAAAAGGGTCTATACTGCAGTCAGCCACCAGGGGGCGATAGAGAGTGTCTGGATTTATATTGTCCAACTTTATGTATGTCAATTGTCATGATGAATAAAGGGAGAGACACCAGAAATGTACTCATTAAGATGTGGATGTGTTGTGTGGTTTGTAAATACCTGATCAGTGGTGGGAAATAACAATGTACATAGACTTTGTTACCGTACTTCCCGTCACTTGAGTATTTATTTTTCACTTTTTTTACACAACTATCTGTACTTTCTACTCCTTACATTTTCAAAACAGGCTTGTTGCATTTGAGAGTAATTATTGATTATTATTATCATTATTTGATTATTGCACGCCTTCAAAACATCAAGACTGGTACATATCACGCATGTGACAAGTCAAAACAGACCAGAAAGGGTGTGTCTGTTTGAGGTTCCAGTTAGTTTTGCACAGAAACAGCCAATAGAATTGTCCTTCAGAGAAACCAAGAGAGTACTTTCACTTTTATACATTTCAGATCCTGTACTTTTACACTTTACTTGAGTCAGTAATTCTACTTTTACCAGGGTAGTATTTACACAAGTATCTGTACTTTAGTAAAACGTGTGTACTTTTATCTCTTCTATACCTGATCATACTCAAATAAAAGGAAAGTCAGAAGATTATTCTATCAGGTAACTCTGTACAGAAACACAAGGTTAGGGTTTGGGAGTGGGGAAAAGGTATTTTTCAACTTTTGAAAATACTCTTCTTCGTTGGTGTGTTTCTGGTCTGGCCGTCACTACTCCTGTCGACCTGATGAAGCTGCGGGAGTTCAGAACCAGATTTTATTGTGGTTGTATTTGGCAGGCAAAGGAGAGAGACACTTTCTCAGTGGTCATCAGTCTGAACAGAGGCTAAAAGATGCATTTAATAAATAATGTGGACGTTCTGTCAGCTGAAATCTCCTAATTGGTCGGCATTGTTAAGTTTGTTCAGAGCTACGTGCAGCAACATTCACACCTACAGAATAAACAGGAGTTTTGTTTACTCTGAAAAGGAAAGAATAAACAGAAATCAGATGGAAGCTGAGAGAGAGTGAAACCAAAGCTGCTTTTAGTATTTGTGGTTCAGTGTGAGTTCAGGGAGGGACGAGTCTTTAATGCAGCCCAGAGATAAATCACTGCAGAATTAGACACAAAGTGGAACAGCTGGATTAAACAGATTATAAACCAACACAGGACATAATTACAGAATAATAACTTTGTTCAAACCAAAGTTCCAAAAAGCTTCAATAAACAGATAAAGAGACAATGAAAGCCAGAAATAACATGAAAGCAAACAGCAGCGTCAGACAGAAAGCAGATTAATCTGAAAGGATAACAAAAGAGATTTAACAGAAGATTCAAAGCTGATAATCTTCACACATTTATGTCGTTTCTCCTCTTGGAAACCAAGATGTTTTTTAATTCATAACAGAAGTTATCTTCTTTAACAAAAGAAACGTCGGCCACAAACTCCCCAAATAAATTCAATTCAATTCAATTCAATTCAATTTTATTTGCATAGCGCCAATTCATAACAGAATATATCATTTCAGACAACTCAGCAATACCATCTTAGCAACACAATCAAAACAATAACACTAGCAACCACATTGTTAGCATCACAGCAACTATTTCAATCAATCACTTTTATTATCTTAATTATATTCAGGAGATCTTTCAGTGAATGTTCCTCCAATGTATTTTCTTTTAAAGCTCCTCTTGCCTCTTCTGATTCTTTTCTGTTACTGGGTGGAAAAATTGTGAAGTAAACTTATCCTGGGTCTCATTGTTATGTTAGCTTTATTTGATACACCTTTATATTGAAGACGTTTAATATATTAGAACTGGTAGTAGACATGGATGCATCGTTGTCTTAGTAGTTTGGCTTGTCCTTGGCTATGTAATGACATCTGTAGAGACATGATGTATTGTATATGTACATTTTGTAACTTTATTGTCTGTCTTTCTCTTTCTTGAACTCAGCTTCCAAACCCAAGCAAATACTCTTTCTTTTAAGATCAACCATGCTCGCAGTAGGGATCAGATCCTGATATTCAGGTTTGTCATTTTTCTTCATTATTTCATTGTATCAGTATTTATAGCTTTATATGTTTTTTTAGTGTGCTTGGAATTTCTAGTGTGATGTCCTTTGAATACCAGTTCCTTTTATAGATATTTTATCTGTTTAATTAATGGTGCTATGACTTTCGGGGGTTTCCATGAGTAGCACTGACTCCTTCTCTTTTCACTCATCTTCCTTTCTGCCTTTTTACTCAATGATCCCCCATTTTATATCGAGTGTTTTTAAATTCTACAAATTTTAACTTTCCCCCTGCACGTTGCATTTTGCAGCTTTCTCAGTCTTGCCGCGTTCTTTTATGCATCTCTGGTGGAGCCTCCTGCCATGGTCTTGTATGTCTAAGACCCTACAATTGATAGACATCAATAGTCAACTGACTCATTTTGCTGTTATTTATTATTCTTTATCTATATTAAGATATTTTTTAATTTTTTAATGTTCATTCATCATCAGTCTCTCCGTATAGTGGTCACGTTGTCTGTACTAGTTGCTTGCTCTGCCTGCTGTGCTCTCTTCTTGTCTACACAACTGGTACAAGGCAGACGACCACCCACCTAGAGCCTGAAGGGTCTGTCCTCCAGGCTCTCTCTGCTGTTAAAGGCAGTTTTTTACTTTTGCTTCCTCGTCGCAAGTTTCTGCTTGCTCATGTTGTGGTTGCTGTTGGATCTCTGTTAATGTTTATTATTTTTAGTTGTTCGGTCTATGTACCTTTGGCTTTATTTGTTAATTAAGTTGTTCCTTGTATTAACTTTTTC